GCTCAGGTAAGAAGAACACTCATCCTGGGAGCCACAGCTGCCTGTAGTACGGTACATATTGATGAATACAAGACGTTCCTGTATGCCTTATGTTCTCTCGATATTATTACATTTTGAGAGAATGAAAGGAAGGACCTTATTTTGAACTGGCATTCAAATGATTTGTTCATGTATATGTGAAAATACATAATCATAAAACCCTACATGACTCTCCGAGACAGTCAACATGCAAATTAACGCGATAATTGGTAGATTTCAAGAAAAAGGCAACTCATCCCGGCCTCTGGAGTGCTCGGATTCTTTTGAAAAAAGAAGGAAAAAAACGGTGCTGAAGCCAGAAATGTTCAGTAAAAAAAAGGTTTATAAGTGACATGTAGTGCAGACTGTAAGTAGACATAAATATCCATCGGATAAATATGGCTAAGAAAATCAAGTACCCGTGTGTTTCCATATTTTTCTTTTCTTGTTTATACACTATTAGATTTTTTATTGTTACTTTTGTAAACACTGATATGGATATTAAATGTCATTTTAACTTTCTACTTTTGTTTTAGTTCCAGACACTGACCGTTCGAACCGCCGAGTGAAACACAGCGAGGGCCACCTGTGGGGAAAAAGGCAAGAGAATCAGTTCGTAAACAAACATAATAGACAATACATAACCACTAATATAATAAGAAATATCCAATACCAAGAACAAGCATAGCATACCTTGACTTTCTACTGTGTTAACAAATAACAAAATTGTTCCCAGCCACAACATTGTCCTGCAATAAAGATTCAGACAAATAGTTAATGTTTTCACACAAGTTTTCTTTCTTACTGTTGGGCACGTCTGGCAGTGCTGTTGATGACCCTTCGAAGTTCTGTATACCTGGATAGGATGTCTTTTACCATCCAGTTAACAGGGCTAAGGTGTCACTTTATATAAGGATACAAGTATCAAATTCCCCATGCATGTTTTTGTATTTTATATCTCATTATGCACTATCGACGAAAGCATATTGGTTCAGGAAGTGTATATTTGCACAGTATGGTTGCCAGTATGGCAGTGGTGTCCTGCACGGTCATTGGTATTAGACTGTAGACATTATAACATTAACAGTAATGCCTATATCTTCGAAGAAACGTGCGCTTGCAATTATGATATAAAATGAGATTTTGCCAAAGTTATCAGATATATTTGTTTTACTCTGAAACGAATTCCGAGAGGTTTCACTAGTTTTTTCTTGTCTATAACAAGCTTGTCATGTAAATTAATAACAGTAAACATCAATTCCTGTGGTCATCAACGTCATTATTATCTCCCTTGTCCAGCTGTGGAACCAGGTTCGGGTAAACACATCACATCACAACTTTATATAAACCAGATCGTAACAAAATAACAAAGCCTTACTTGTAGATCAAACTCAGTTCCGCAGCAAATGAACTTTCGGCACTAAGTCTTCATACACAAATAAGGCTTACAGCCGGTGGCTTGAGCTAGGGAGGAGGGAGGACTGGAAGGGTAGGTGACCTTCCCGAGGTGAACTGCGCGCCCGGCCTCCCAAGGTTAAACACGCTGCCGACACTGATGCCATGTACGTACGGGCCATGCGCACAGTGATTTAGTTCATTAACTGTATTTACACATAAATGGCTCTACAAGTGCCTAGTCATTAAAGAGGCAGTTACTAATCCTGCATATCTCACATGTTTAACCTTTTCCTTAATTTCGGAAATATTTTGATTTTATCTTCTTTTGTTATTGGTAATGTCATTAATTCTGCAAGAACAATAATAAAAACAATATTACTGCCAGCATTGATAGCATCGAAGAAATAGACTACAGTTTGACTTGTAGAACCATTTATCCGTAGATAGATTTCGCAAAACAATACAATAGTAAACAAAATATTTCACAGTGGGCCAATTCAGATTTTATGTGCTTTTTATTTCCTCTTTTTTCTACATTCACTGAAATGGTTATGGACGAAAAACGTCGCAATCTTTCCGTTTCTATTGTAGAAGTATAATGTTAACGAATCCTGTGTACCTTATGAGTGACAATGGAACAAACACAAATTCCCCAGTGACATCATTATTCCTGGGAAAATACGTACCTCATGGTAATTCTTTCCTTTTGTAATCTCTAGTCTGTTTTTGTGTATTTTTTATGTTGTGATTGCCTGTACCTCATCATACGTTAGTACATATTCTGTTGTATGACATAAATACATGAACATACACATTTACACGCACAAGCACACACACACGCGCACATAAACATGCATACGTACGTACATGCGCACGCGTGCTCACACACACACACACAACACACACACACACACACACACACACACACACACACACACACACACACACATACACACACACACATTCTCTCTCTCTCTCTCTCTCCGTCTCCTATATACACGCTAAAGCACACCCACACGCGCACATTAACATGCATACGCACGTACATGCGCAAGCGTGCACACACACACACACTCTCTCTCTC